GACAGGTCTCGCTCTGTCGCCCAGGCTGGAGTACAATGTAAAATGGTGTGATCTCAGCTTACTATAACCTCGCCTCCCGGGTTCAAGTGATTCTCCTGCCTCAGCCACCTGAGTAGCTGGGATTACAGGTGCACGCAACCATGCCTGGCTAACTTGTATAATTCTTCAAAAATCACTTGCTCCATGAATTAATCTTACTGAACTTATATTATTCTTTTGCTCTTTGTCCTCTCAGCATTTGTGTGTCGTTGCTGATAGACAGTTTTGTAATTGTTCTCATGTCATTTCATGTCTTTCCTTGGTTCTCAAACAGGAGAGAACAAGAAGAAAACGATAACTATTTCTCTTATGTCATTACTAACTCCTACCAGGTCCCTAAGTTTAGGAGATTCTCAGATGCTTATTAAATAACTCTAAATTCCTTTTTCTCAGTTATATTCCTTTGTTCACTCTCTCTCTCTCATCTTGTCTCTCAACCTAAAAAAAAAAAAAAACAGTTGACTATAACAGAATATTAAGTGAAGAGCAGAAAATTCTCTGTACGCTACAATCACAACTATATAACAAGAAAAAAACCGATGCAGAGTTAAAAAAAAAAAAAGACTAGAAGAAAATATACTTGTATAATTCTTTAAAAATCACTTGCTCCATGAATTAAACTTGCTAACAGTATTTGTGTTTGAGTAGTCAGATTAAAGGTAAATCTGTTTAGAAAAAAGAATTAATTAAGCAACAAATACGTATCTCTGTTCAAATATGTGGAGAAATAGATGAAGCGATGTGGCAAAATATCATCAGTTGGTGAGTTTAGGTGAAAGGCATACAGATTTTCATTGTACCCTTTTTTTCAATGTTTTTTTATGTTTGAAATTTTTCAAAATACAAAGTTGAAGGCTGGGAGTGGTGGCTTATGCCTGTAATCCCAACACTTTGGGAGGCCGAGGCGGGTGGATCACCTGAAGTTAGGAGTTCAAGACACACCTGGCCAACATGGCGAAACCCCATCTCTAGCAAAAATACAAAAATTAGTCAGGCGTGGTGGTGGGCACCTATAGTCCCAGCTACTCAGGAGGCTGAGGCAGGAGAACTGCTTGAACCCAGGAAGCGGAGGTTGCAGTGAGCCGAGATTGCGCCACTGCACTCCAGCCTGGGTGACACAGCAAGACTCCATCTCAGAACAAACAAACAAAAAAGTTAGAGGGGAAAAAATCTGTCAGAATGCTTATATATTCTTAAGCTATGACAAACATTACTGAAAATTAAAATGATTGATTTTAACATTACCTCTTACCATGCCAGCAGGCTACAAACAAAAACTAAGCTCAAAACTAAGAAGAAGAAAACAGGCTTCCAATATGTTAGGTCTCTAATGATTTCAGTGGAAAAAGCGATACTAGTTAAGAGTCACATACCAGCAGCTATGGGAATTCCAACCAGATTATAAATTAGAGCAAAGACAAAATTTATCCGAATCCTCTTAACTGTCTTTCTTGATAAGTCGATACTTGCCACTACATCCAGAAGATCATTCTGAGAACAGAAATATTTGTGATATTAGTAAGAGACTCTAACTGAACCAGTAACTTTTACATTTGATACTGTGTATACTGAAGATTACATCTACCTTAGGATAATATGTGAATTAACTACAAATCTCAGATAATGCTTAAACTTGGACTCAGCCTCAGAAGGTGTTTTTTAGAAATTTTCCTCAGGGTTTTGAAAACACTGTTGGGTTATATGCTGGCATGAGGATTAAATCTACTTAAAATAATCTCAGCAACTATTTGTTGAAGATCATTTTATTCTAAATCCATTCTTAATCTTATTCCTCACTTTAGAAACGTATAATTCTCACTTGCTTATTAGCTGTGTTGCGAAAGTCAGGGGGTAATTAGCACGACTTGCCATACTCCCACTCCATATTCTCAAAATCTTAATGGCTGAGAGCATGAAATTTAAGACTGAATTGTTGTGCTCAATATACTTTATGGCACTATCATTGACCATGTAGGGCAGTCTCATACTCCTCAAAGGTCAGGTCACGGCACTTACCCTTATCAAAACCACATCAGCTGCTTCAATGGCTACATCTGTGCCTGTGCCAATGGCAATTCCCACATTAGCCATTGCCAGAGCCGGGGAGTCATTGATTCCATCTCCCACCATTGCTACCCGTTTCCCCTCCTCTTGAAGTTGCTTCACTTTAGCAACCTTGTGAGAAGGTAGAACTTCAGCAAACACCTTGGTAATGCCAACCTATGTGAGGAAAATAAACTCAATTCATTTCAAAAAAATAATAATCAGTACCTGAAACATAACTGAGCAATAACAAGCCATCAGTTTTCACCCACCAGATATCCACACTTTAAAAGACTGATAAAATCTAATGATAGCAAGAATGTGGAGAAATGAGCTCTCTTATATACTGGAGGCTGATGTGTAAACTGGGACTCTTTTTGGAGGGCATCAGGTAGCATCTATCAAAGTGTGAGCATCATTTGCTCTAGCAGTTACATGTCTAGCTCTATTTTGGACAGACTTGCAAATGTACAGAAAGATACATGTCCAAAGATGTTCATTATTGCCTTGTTTGCAAAAACAAAATTTTCAAAACCATCCAAATGTCCATCTTTAGGGAAATGGTTAAATAAATTATAATACATCCATACCATAGAATTTCATGCAGCAGTACAGAAAGAATGAAA